AGGACCGTAAGAAATGGCCTCAAGCTAAGTCACAGAATCACAGAATATTCTGAGCTAGAAAAACTGCACTAGAGGTTTAAATTAGATATTGGAAAAAAAATTTCTTCACTGAAAGGGTTGTCCAGTAGTGGAACAGGCTGGAATGGAATCACCATTTCTGAAAGTATTTAAAAATGTGTAGAGGTGGTGTCCCCGTTTGAAAGACAGGTATTTGCTAATGAAGGCAGGGACCCCACTTGGAGTGGTGGCTATGACCCCCCTTCCCTCCGAATTATTATAGCTTTGGAAAAAAAAAAAAATCACGGGCTTTCAGGCAGAAATATGGGTAAAAAGGAATAACAGTTTTTACTAATATATATATATAAAACAAAGTGAAAACAAGTAACAATAAATATTGCAACGACACAGCCCAGTCCAAACCTAGTGACAGCCTTATAGGAACAGTCTCCTTCTTGGCGAGATTACAGTTTGGTTGGCAGCGGCGCCGCTGCCTCTCGGCTGAGCAGGGAGGGCGCGACGACTCCTCGGAGACTGCAGGGGACGTGGTGGTGCGGGTCCCGGCTAGCCAAGATCTCCYGCGGCTGGGATGATCGATACAAGATGGCAGAGGTGGATGGAGAAAAGTTTCTCTGCAAAACTCACAGCGGAAAACGCCAGTGCTCTTCTGGACAGGAAGAAATCCAGGACCTCCAAAAGAGAGACGAGCAGGAATCCCGTGGCCGTGAGATGGGACGGAGCAGAGTTCACCCTCCTGAAGCTGGAATCCTCTGGCCAGCCACAGCAGAGTCAAAACCACTTTGCCGCAAGCAGGAAAAAAACCCTCCTCTCTCCCAAACCGCGAAAAAAACCCCTCCCCAATCCCCACACCACCACACAAAAGCTGTCTCCCCATTTAGGGTGTGGCCATAGGTGTCATTGTCCCTTCAATCACCCGGCCATTAACCAGATGATTCGGCCATCAAGGTATCCTAGCAACAAATGGGACGAAAAAATTCCCGAAGAAAAAAGAACAAAAGGAGAAGAATTTTAACCCACGACAAATACAAAACCATATTTTCAGAAGGAAAGTGTAAAAAATAAAGCACCTTTTATCATCTGACGCTAGGAGTAATTTATTGGAGTAAGAAACGATAATGTTTTCTGGAAACTATATTCAAACAAACTGATATAAATGAAGAAAAGACAATGATAAAAGGAAATGTTCTTGYAAATAAATATCAAGATTTTTAACAGGCAGGAACTGAACTGTGCTTTTCTTGAAAGGAACACACATTGGGTTTTTCTCTTTGGAAAAAATTTAATCCCCTTAAAAGTCAACCATAACTAGAAAAGGCAATTTAAAAGCAGATTACACAGTAAACTAGTATTAGTCTGTAAAAAAATATATGCATTTTTTTCTAAATTTTACTGAATTTCATTTATAGACATTTTCTCATCCAGCCAGAATAGGAACCGCTTTCCTCAGACCATTATTAGAAGCAGGAATGTGTATTTAAAATGCCAAATGAAAATCCCTTTTTATATTTGGCACACTGTTATCTGACRCTGAATTGAGGTGTCATGTTTTCCACAAGTATAAAAGGCATTATGTTCTGCCAATTTCTGTTTCAAGCGTTAATAGAAATGGCATTTTCCTTAGTAACACACCCAATATTGGAATTTCTTACTTCTTCCATATTTGTACTAGTATTATTAAGCTTAACTTGATCAGTCCACAGAATTCCTCAGCCATCTTTTGTATCTATTTTAAAAATTTGCCATGTAGAACAAGGGAAAAAACGAAATTATATTATGGAAAGCTTTTTCTTCCTTACAATGCTTCAACCAACTCTTTTTTCCTGATTTCATATTATGCCATCTAGTACCTGCTTTCTCATCTGGACCTCTCCCACATTTTATTAACTAACAAAATAGTCTTTCTTTCTCAAGGCAGAAGTCCAAATAGCAATTACCATAAATAACAGCTGGAGTTAGAAGTGTTCAGAATTCACCTTCCACTTCCAATACTGTTTCYTGCTTATAACTGAAGTAAATAAATCACTGAAAGTACATTTCTCAATTGTTAGAGAGTTTTCTTCAAGTTGAATTTTTCTGTAAAGATTCAACAAAAGCAAATTTAAAATTTCAATAATAAGGCTGTGTATGCATTTAGTATTTTGTAAACGTTGTTTCAAATAACTTCACTGATCTGTAAAACTGCTTTTAGGAACAATATGAGAATTGAGCAGGAAAGTTATTCCTGTATCAACACTTGCCTTCTGTCCTTTCAAAAATTTCCCTCATCAGTGATAAACTACATAAAGATGAAAAACTTCATGAAATCATGAGGTTTCAGAATTCCAGTTCACATATACTCATCAGAAGCTGGGAAAACTACGCATAATATTTCCTTTTTTTAGACTCTGTAAGTCTTACGTGCCAGCTTAACGGCAAACTCTCCCAACTGCACAGAACCAAGTTTATCCTAATCTAAGGCTACTAAAGTGCTACAGAAATTACCATTACAGCTTGTTGGCAAAGCCATGCTATGAGGCACCCAGTCATGAAAACTGAGCAACTGCTCATTAGTTAATGCCCACACGGCATTCTGGGAGAACCATCAATGTGAATGTTGAGACCTGAACACAAAACTACTGAGAGGAAGCCCATGCAGATTGGGAAAACCAAAACCAGAATGCTACAGCTGATGTAATGGAAATCAAAAAGTAGAAGCATAGGTAAATAAATAAAGAATCAGACAGTGAATACGATACCATGAAGGAGTGTAAAACAGTGGCATGTAAGTGTCCCAAATTTTCTATTGCATGGCAATGTGAAGTAACTGCAATCAGTCTTGCAGCACTGTAGAATAATAAGAGCTTTCAAATGGAAACACAACACCAGTATGTACTAAATATACAATATTATAAAAATATCAAAACATTTGAAAAGAGCAGCGGCTTAATCTGAATATTTGCATTCCCATGTAGTTTTGACTTTTGKGAAGGAAATTTCTTGGCTTCATTTCCTCACTAGTAAAATGGGGAGTATTCTAAAGATAACTTCATTGCTGTTAAAAAAACACTCATATCGTGGTGAAAAGAATACTGAAACTAATGAGGTACCTAGTAATTTTTATTTTAATACAAAATTCAGATTACAAATCTAAATAAAATGAAATCTTGAATGTTAACTTTCTTAATGTCTACAAAAGAGATAGGCTGTAAAATTATTTTAGCATTTAGGGTTTTATCATATCACAAGAAAATGGCAACAAGTGACACTGCACATTAAGAATATTTGCATTTTTTATTTTGTTTAGGAAGACAGTAATACTGTGACAGACAAGGATATCCCTACCTTGACGTACTAGCACATTCCCAGCAAAGAAAACAAAATTTAATGATGTTTGTGATATGCTTCCTCATTTCTGGCAATTAAGTATTTTAATTTTAAAACCACTTCAAAAACTTCAAATGCTGGAATTTATGGTCTTAGAATTCACTTTTAATGTAGCTTGATCAGTTATCATTTCTAAAGAACGTAATCAAGATAGCAATTCTGCTGTTTATAATGACTACARAGTGGTTCATTTAGAACTGCAGGGCTCAGACAAAGCAGCCTGGCCTTTAATGCTTTGCTGTGTAGAAGCCAAGTGCAGAAAGAAGTATTTAGCGGTGGCCCCTGTTTGTTCTAATTCAAGCTGTCCAAGATCTAGTGTACAATTTACCCTCAACCTAGCAAAGTAATTTTTAGAAAAAAAAAAAAAAAACAACACCTGCACAATAATCTATGATTAATTACATAACCACATTCATAAACTATTTTATTCTGGAAATTTTTCATGTATGCTTTAGAAGACTGGTGTCCTTAATTTTCAGTAAGGCAAGATACCCAGGAAAATTGACACAACTGATACAATAATTAGTCTTTGAAGGATTTTTTTTAACACTGAAAACTATAAAACCCTTAGAAATATGATTTCTTTATAGCACATGCTGTGTCTTTATTATCAGAAACCATACTTCCTTCTATTTAATTTTTTTAAGTAATATCTTTAAACTAGATGATAGATAATGTAGGAGAGTAATTATATTTACAGCACAAGTTCCATTACAGTTAGTCTTAGTTTTCTTCCGTATTTTGGAGATGCATACAAATGTCTGGAACTAAAAATTTCCTTTTAAAGAYGTGATATGCAATACAGCACAAAGAATTATTTGTGTGACACTTCACCTGCATGTCTTTCTCCACATGTAAGAGTGGGCAAAATTTACACAAGAAGCTGATAGTCATCCCCATTCTGAAACTTCTCTCTAATAACAAATATAACAGAAGATTATAAAATACCAGGCAGAAGAATGGSAACTTTTAGGTGCTTTGAAGAATTTATTATTTTATACATTATACGCAACCAACCAGGAGAAACTTCTAAAGCAATGCCCTTGAAACAGAAAGAGTTTAAAATGAAATCAATAAGAAATCAAGTTCTGACTTCAAGTTCCAACTTGAGTTCTAACTGAAGTTACTGAGTTTCAGATGCAAGCATACAATGCTTTATGAAGGACTCAAAGAAGAGAAGCATGAGCTACTAAAAATGAAATGTCTAGCTCAGCATGAAAAATTACCTGCTTAGTGAGCAGCTGATTTGTATTTTAATGACTATGTGGAATGCTAATCCTCAAAATTTTACCTGACTTAYCTAAAGCTACTGAATGTTGTTTATGTCATTTCTTCCTTGATCTATGTTAAGCAATTTTTTCTGTTATTTTATATTGAAAGCATTTGAACTGAATAAATGGTCAGTTTAGTCCTCTAGACTCACAGGAACTATTTTAAAATTTATTTCCACATTATGCAAAATGTTACGTTAACATCAAATTGAAGGAAAAAAGGCATACATAGCATAAAACAATCTTCAAAAATATTAAACATTCTTTTCACTAATATCATGTATAACTTAAGGATATTATGCATTTATGCTTAGGCACAGAAAATAAACCCAAACAAGTCATATTTACCTGACAGCTAAAAGAAATTCAGAAGCTGGAGTGACTGGAAAACATCAAACAGCTGTTGTGTCCTTTTCCAAACAGGAACTCAAGCTCATTAGCACAACCCAAATACTACTCTTCATAAAATATGAAGAGGTGGTTGAAGCACAGACTTGGTGCTACTGTTTTGGGAGAATAAAAAGACAAAAAGTGAGAGAATACAAACTTTGTTACAGAAAAGATGAAACTTGGTTCAGATCTAATTGCTTTTTCACTGCACCCCGTTATTGCCCTTATGAATTCTACAGATTTACTTGAGCATCATGAGATAGTCATGTTATCAGCACAACCATCTGAGAGTTGTGTTGCCAATAGAAACAAACACAACACTGTAAACGAAACAAATGAAAGGCCCATATCTCCTTTTTGCAGTTTTTCTTGCTGAACRCCATATCTATCTAGGATCTACACAAACCATACAGCATGAAGTTATAACTCATCACCGAAGTTATGTTTTATTTAAATTTTTGCATTCCCATAATTCCTGCTAATATACTGATAACCCAATCAAAGACTTTAGCCAAAAGTCTGTTTCAAAATGCAATGAAATGACATCTTTAGCAGCACAACAGGGAAAAATGAGAGCATCTTAAAACACTTCTCCTCTTGGTTGTGCTCTGGCTTTTGACACCCATTCCATTAAACAGCGACAAATTTAGACACCATTTGTCTTCTCTAATAATACCATGAAACATAACAGTTCCTTTAAAAAGATTTTAATGAAAAAAAATACTCTTATAAAAGTTGTGTTACATATATACTTTCTCTCTGCATTTTGGTACAGCACATTATTTCCATCAGTTCTCAAAATGCTCTAGAAAGTTCAAATTCACACCTTCGGGTGGTACAGTAGTACTTTTCTTCTCCAGTGTATTACAATTATTGGTCTGATATAGTTTAAGCTCTATACAAATCAAGTTATTCTGGCACCTGAATGCTGCAACTTTTCTAACATCATGAAAAAATTCCTTACTCTACTGCTAACTCTTAATGAATTTTAAACTATTTAATTGAGGTGTTTTGCCTTTCCTGTTGAAAATACTACTCCTATCTTAGAAAATAGCTTTAGGATACAGACTTGTAAGTCTGGATTTCCAGAGAATAGAATTACTGGTCAAGGAGTAAATGTCAGTCAATATATCTCTACACGTAACACACATTCTCCATATGACATGCATTTAAAAGCATGAAAAGTAACAGATATTTAAGTGATTCTGAAATTCTAGTTTTCTAACTTTCTCAGGTCATTAAAACATAACATAGTAATCTTAAATCTGTATCCCTTTGTTATACACCACTGGATAGCTGCTTTTCATCATGTGGATAGATGCTCCTTCAACTCCAAATTCGGTATCAATTAATCCTGCTATCAGCCACACTGATACCAGCATGCTTGATCTGCTTAACCAGTCTATGTAATCACTGGCAGCAAAGTTCTACGCAGAAGGGAAGCAGGTATGACCAATGTGCTGACAAGTGAATTCAATCTGAGTTCTGCTAGAAACATAGTAAGTTTATTTACAGTATTTGTTGCAATCCTCTTTGGATACCTAACATAACTATTAAGAGTATTACAGGAGATTCCAAAATAAGTCATGTGTGTGCTGAGAGATATTGCTAAACCCAGAAACGTGTCAGACAGCAGGCACACATAGCCTGCTAACAGACAAACTCTAGTGAATCTTGCCCCCCAGAAGTTTAAAAAGTTATGCCCTCCAGCTGTTCATTCCATTCCTCAGCTAAAGGTTCCTGCCCCTCTCCCTCCCTTCCTGGAAATCAACGGGAAGGAATGTCTATTGATACATTCCTCTGTTCAAAATCTGGCAATTTAAACTGTTGATAAGTTAAAACTAACCTGCTGGGCTCTACACTAAAAGAACACTCACAACCCACGCCCTACAAGCCATTCGGCAACACCACAAATGACCTCCTGCAAAAAGACATAGGAAATTATGAGGGGGAAGTAATGCCAAAATGCACTTACACACTGCTTCTTCATAAGGATACTTAAGCATAATTTATGATGGCCTTATGTACTGACACAGCTGTACCAGTGAAAGTTGGAAAGAGTCTTCTCATTTTGCACCTCTTTCCCTTTGTATAGTTCCTTTCCTGGGTCCAAGTGATTTCTTTCATTGCCAACCATGTCTACAGAACAGATTCGCTCTTTAGCAACTAAGTCGGCCTCTTTCCTTAGGACTGTGGTACCACAGGAACTATGCTTTTGTATTTCAACTAGCTTGACCAACTAACTTTGCTATTTCTCTAGTAGGCAGTGCAACCACCTTATTAATCTAAATTCATGTAAGTGAACCTGGTATTTTTGCAGTTTTTATAATTAACCTTTTCCTTAATGAACTGCAAAAGTATCATAGGTTCTTATAAAATAGATATCTCTAAATAAAAACAGTRCTTGAGCTGTAAGTCTTTCATCATCAATTTGAATTCCTCTCAAAATGGTTAATTTTATTCTAAGTTATAGGCTGTCTTTAACTTTCTGTTTAATGGTTTGACTTAATTTTTTTCTCAAAAAAAAAAAATTGTTTCTAAAAACAGTGAAATCACCTTTTATTTCCCCCTTCTTGTCAGCTTTTAATTTTGACTAAGTAGAAGTGGTTTAATTTTTCTTATTTCTGTGTAAAGTATATTTTGGTGCCTAAGAATGTTGTGTAAAATGAAATTACACAGTCAATAGGGATGAGAGTTAAAAGTTTATTCTGCAAGCTTATGTCACTATATGCTGACTCCCATGGCTAGAGTTCATAACAGAAAAAGTTTTTTCCATCCACTAAAATGGCTAAATGATATCACCATGACAGAGCTAGTAAAACATCTTTTTCTTCAAGCTGAGGCATGACAAGTCTCTTCTTGGTGCTTTTACAAGACACATAAAAATACCTTGCGATGAAGACTTGCAACTGGCTGAGTCAATGAGGTAAAACCCCAGTGAGATGGATCTGGAGCACCCAGGCTTCTTGCCCAGAATGCAAAGCACAATGAAGTGACAAAGCTTAAGCAGAATTAGTAATGTATGAATGACTTTACTTAACACGGCTTCATATGCCATAGAATGGGCAAATGTTACAGGAGGCAAAAATTAACTGTGTTAGGTTTGAAAATACAGACTTCGGAACCAAGAATGTATTATACCTTATATTATGCCCCTGAGACAATGATGCAAAGTATCAACTTCATTTTGAAACCAGAAATTAAAAATTCCCTCAGATTTTCTTGCTGAAGGACTCACAAAATACCACAAAGTCAAGTGAAAATTTATCTTCTTATTCTCCACACGGTGTAGATCCAAAGCTAAAAAAAATGGCAGCGAGAAGAACGTTCAAAACAAAACCCCTCCAATACAGTCCAAAAAGCCTCTTCTCTTAGTCACAGCCTTTCCACACCAGCTGTAAAAATGAGCCATCCAGAAGAGGTGCTAACTGAAAGGGAGCTGTTGCAAGAGACAGCTGATCATGGCCACATTTATTTTAATCTTCATCTTCCTACCCAGAGCTGCCTAAGAGGCTGTGATGCTACTGTCTCTTAAAGAATTAACATTTCAACAATTAACACAACACAAATTCAAGTATTCAGACACTTATGGTAAGAAAAACATATAAAGGAAGTATATACATGTCCTTAGATAAAAAAAAAAAACAAAAACCAAACCAACCTATCTATACAGTGCTTATCTAACCATCTAGGTAGCAAAGATGCCACAGGTACCAGAAACTTTCACCTGTAAAATTAGTCAGAAACTTAAGCCCCAACAAGTCCAAAGGTGCTGGGCTGAAGTTAACACCTCCCTTTCACTTGAAATTTACAAACCATACACCCCAAACTGTCAGCCACCCCAAAGCTTCCATCTGTGTGTACCACGTTTGAACCAATATGACTTCAGTGGGAAAACAAAGAACTCATAGCAATCTCTGTTGATAGCCAGTGCTATTTTGCTTACAGATGATGAAAGGAATCACTCCATAACTTGAACATCAGGGTAGAAACATGTCAACCAAAGAAACCAAGCTACTCTCTCTCAAAAGACTACTAATCATCAGCTGCTGATAAGGATCAATCCTGTTGAAGTGCTGGCACTATAAAAAAAGAACATATGTTTAATAGATCAAAGAGTGCATAAAAACTCCATTTCAAAGTCAGATAATTTTAGGGGAAGGACAGGAGAAGGAGGGCAAATTCTACATTTCAGTCCTGCTGCCAATCCTACCTCTGCATTTTGTGCAATGAGTTTGTAATTAAAAATATGGTATTTCTTGAATAGCCAGCCTGAACATTGACATGCCTTGTGCTCTGCTGTCTAGGCTTAAGGACGCTGCTTGGGTGCAATGAATACCATTCTACTGCCTCTTGGAAATGACCTCCCAAATTTTTTGCCACTCCAAGATCCTATAAATTTGCCTCCATAATTATAATATTTGTTTAATTCACAGAACACAAATTATTTAGCTGAGACCAACTTTTGCCATTAATATTATGTCACTATTCTTCACAAAATACCCAATTTTATATCTTTCAAAGAAAAATCTAGAACTTACAAACACCTACTGTGAATAGTTATTTCCCTTCTTTCTTCACAACTGTCTTGTTTCAAAATCTTTTTCTATTCTGATTTTGCAAGCTTTCAGTCATTAAAAAGCTATAGAGGGTTTATTTATTCTGAAACAATAATAAATCAATCCTTGAATAAACTACACCATCTGTCTTCCCCTGCATACTGTGCTTTTAAGTGACATTTATTTTAGGTTTCTACCAAAGTAAATCCAAACCTCCACAAGCAATAGCTATATTTATTCATTGCCTTAAAAACACATGAATTTGGCCTTTTGATTTTGGTGTTCTTTGGGTACCTAATTACTGGTTTGGAAATTTCACTACTTCATTCCTGTCAGTTCTGACCGAGAGCCATTTTTTTTATAAACAGTTGTTTAAAATAAAAAACTAAACCAACTATATGAACTAAAAGCAAGAACAATAGCTATTAAGACTTTTGCTTGTAGAGATGAGAAAAAAATAGTGCTCACATTTGAACTATGTGTTTGAAAGCAGCAGACATTCTGCAACTTCCAAAATGATTAGGTTCCCCAGTTTGCAGTAAAAGCTTCCTTAATTCTTTTAAATCTTCAAATACTTTGGGGGAAAGCACCTACTTTTCAGTAAGCGTTATCCAAGGCTTCGGTAACAAGTTTCAGATGATAAATCATCATAACTAATATTTTTAATAGCACATGATAGTCACAAGCCAATGAAAACCTTTACACAAGAAACTCTCTATGCTACTGGAACTTTTACAAAATACCAGACAGGTGAAGAATTACAAAATGCAAATCGSAAAAGAGCCTACCCTCTTTCAGCCTGAGACTGATTTCAATGTGTCAAACACATTGACACACAGAAACCAACTGCATAGCAGAACACGTGATCCCCAAAGCAAGGAATGTCTCCATAAGAAACTTCAACTCCTACAGGCTGAACAGACACGTGCCACAGGTACTCAGCCGGGGGGGGATACAAAAAGCATCAGTAGCACCTTTTTCATTTTCCATTTCCTACCTTTATCTGCAAAGATTTTTCTTTCCTGAATCATAGACTTGACTTTTGGCTACAGGGAGGGAAAGAAACAGAACCATCATTATRGAACACAGGTATTTCAAAACAGCCTGACAGTCCCCACCTTCTCCCTATCGCTTCAGCCACCATGAGGCCTTCCATCCTTTAAGACTTCTCCATGTGACCTCCTGTTCTTACTCCACTATTACCAGCACTGGAACCCTGGGGCTGAGAAGAGGAAATTGCAAACAACTGAATCACTGCTGACACCTCCTGGCAGCCCCAAGAAATCCGCGTTAACCGGGCGTGGTATAGTTAATACAGAAGAATATGCATGGSGTGTGGGAACACGAAAAACTTCGACCCCAAACCAAAAAGCTCTCACTCCCCCTGCTTCTCACACTCATAATGTCGCATTTCGGGAAACGCGAATGAGCACCCAATACGGACCTCGGAGAGGAGTTAGGAACCACCGTACTACATATATTGTTTTTTGCTAGTACCAATTTGCATTGCAATTTCAACCAAATTGAAGTGAGAGGCTGCCTCACCCTGCAAACGGTGTGAGATCACCGCGCCATCTGGCAAAAAGAAAAGGATWCCAGGAACAAGCCCAGTTAGTAAACGAGATTTCTAGGCAGGAATACCGACACACTGAGTAATATACGTAACTAAGCGGAAATGAATAGGAACATCTCATAGGAAACTTAGGTAGGAAATGGCAAGTCACAGCACCAGTGAAAGCAAGATACAGGCACTAAGTGAAAACACAAGCTCTCGCCTAGAAGGTAGTTACATTTTACTGTAAAAATACAAAAATGCAGCAGAGCGACAACTGCCAACCGCCCTGTACGAAAGAACCCTGGAAGCAAAGCAGGTGGCAGGCAGGCACCGACTTTCCTCACAGAGCACCTCYCCGCGCACCCGCCATGCCGCACCCGACGCCAAGCCCCGCCCACCGCCTGGCGGAAGCGGGGGGGTTCCGGTGGGAGGCGTGGCCTCTCTAAAGCCCGCCCAATCGGGGCGAGGCCACGCCCCCTCCCGGCGGTCGCGCGCTCGCCCCGACCCCGCCGCCGCCCGCTTCCTGCCGCTTCCGCGCGCCCGCCCCGCCCGAGCAGTGGCCGCAGCCCCGGCCGGGCCCAGCGGGGAGATGAACACAGTGCTGTCCCGGGCCAACTCGCTCTTCGCCTTCTCACTGAGCGTGATGGCGGCGCTCACCTTCGGCTGCTTCATCACAACCGCCTTCAAGGAGCGCAGCGTGCCCGTCCGCATCGCCGTCTCCCGGGTCACGCTGTGAGTACGGCGGGGAGAGGGAAGGGAGTGGCGGGGGAAGGCCGAGCCGGGCTGAGCGGCAGCTMTTGCCCGCTGGGGAGGGGAAAGGCTCGGGAGCCGAGAGGAAGGGCCGGGGCGGGTGAGACGAGGCTGACGCCCGGCAGGGGCGGGCGCCCCGCGCGGCCGCTCGGGCTCGTCTTCCTACGCTCCCATCCGGGCCAATGGGGGAGCCCCACGACGGCGCGGCCGGGCGGGAGCCGGGGCGGTGCGTTGAGAGACGGCCCGCCGCGCCGCTGGCCCGGCACCCAGCGCCTCCCGGGAGCGCGGCGGTGGCTCACGGCGGAGCTGAACTGGTGCTGCGGGCAGTTTTGGARAGCCAGGGACCTACAGGAGCATGTGCTTTATCCTATGAACATTTATCCGATCGTAGTACCTTTCTCTTTTAATTAGTAGTGCGCTTGGGTTTTAATTAGTAGTGCTCTTGGGTTTCTCCGTTGATAACCTAGCATCCTTTCTTTTCTGTGACAGCAGAGTGGTTGGGATGACTTCACTGCGAAATGAACAAGGTGTAGGACACAATACCACATCAAAACATGTTGCCTACAGATAAAAACGACTGATTCAAACTTGTGCTGGGGGACCTTTTTCTTCCAATTTTGGTGTTGTTTTGGGGTGTTTTTTTTTTTTTTTCTCGGAAGGGAATCTTAATCACAGAAAACTTCCATCAAGTTAGGTATGTGTGATGTGGAGGGCATTAGTTTCACAAGCATTTGAGCAGCTGTTACAGCCACCAAAGAGTGGAGGTCTTTTCTCCCGTTTTAGCCACGTGGTTCTTTACCAGAGCTCCACAAGGGAATCATATGACATTTTACTGAGCTGCTTTAACTCAGCTCATGATTTTTTGTTTCGTTGGTTTGGYCCAGATTAGTGAGCTAAAGCAGCCCATCTCTGGAAGTGCTTAGTGCCAAGTTGGATGGAGCTCTGCACAACTTGGTCTAGTGAAAGGTGTCCCTCTCCACGCCAGAACTTGATGTCCTTTAAGGTCCCTTCCAATCCAGGCCATTCTGTGATTTGGTGATGATTCTTGACAGTGGAGCTTTGGAGCTCCAAAGTAAGTGGATGCCTAATAACAGGACTTTAAAGGAGAGATGAGTGCAAATAAAGGGACTGCCATCACCTTTCAGACTGGTTTAATACCGCAGGAAAAGAACCCCCAAATTTATGCTAGATTGAGGATTGTGACAACATAAAATTGGCATAAAAGCATATTTTTGAGTTTTATGTTGAGCTCAGCATATACGAGGTAGCATACTAATGCCTAATTTGGATGAAATATGTATTCCCAGTCCCATATGTGATGCACAGATCTGGTATTACTGGGAGGTGTTACACCTAAGCTGCTTCTCTTGAATGTCTGAGAAGTTCAGGGGACCCCAAGCTTAAGGCCTGCTCCTCCACCAGACTGACAGTGGTTAAGACCTGAAGTCAAGTGCTTGATAAGGTTTACTACTTAAAAAGATACTGCTTTTGCAAAGGGATGCGAATTTGTAGCAAGGCTTAAATTGGGAGATTTGGTGGTGTTTTTTTAACTACTATCTCCAAAAGTGTTTTCTTCACTGGTGAACTTCTTTTTTTCTTGTATATTGTTAACTTGGTTTTAATGAAATTATGTTTTAATTGACTAATTTCCCAACTGGAATAAATGTAACAATGAAGTTCATAATTCACAAAAAAATTGTTCCATGAGGAGTTAAGGTTCCTAGCTGATTGCCAAGCTAATTGCTTTTAGTATTTCTCTTTGTAGTTGGTAAGATTGGTAAATTGATAAGTTTTATTAATACTTTTGCAATACTGTGTGTCTGTTATTTTCCAGTTGCTTTTTCTATTCAGTTTTAGTGTGGCAATGTGAGGTCCTGTTCCAAATGTAGATTTCTAATAAAGCCTTCCAAAATGATASAATTTTCCATAATGTAGAGAAAAATAACTATTTTCTTCATGCTGTTACTTAAATACATTACAGGAATCAATCTTGACACATGTGTGAACTATGCACATAAACTCTCTTTTATTGGAATAGTTGGAGTGTCTTGTACTAGACTGACCGTGAGAGGCTTTATTTTTTTCAAAGACAGTTGAGAAATAATTTTGAAAATGGTTGCCAGTAGACTGCTATGCTGATGGTGTCTTCCAATTAGTTTTACATATTTGGGGACGCTAAAATATATTTTGTTAAAATGAAATGTAGTGCAATTTAGGTACCGATTTTTGTTAACAGGAAAAAGTCAATTAGCTGCTTGTATGTCTTAGACCACTGTGGTGGCAAGGCCTGACATTCAAAACTGGGACACTATAATTTCTGAAAAGCGGGTGATAGTTTGTAACGTTGATTATATTTTAGCCAAAAGTATTTAAAAGAAAATACAGGAAATGGATGATGGAAATATCTAATAATCATAATTTATGCAGCATGTAAGAGACAAATAATGAAAACTTATAATCTTGTGTTGTTTTTTGTCTTAGAAAAAATGTAGAAGATTTCACTGGACCTAGAGAAAGAAGTGATCTGGGATTCGTCACATTTGACATTACTGCAGATATCCTTAATGGAAGAAATGGTTTGCAAACGTATTGGAACAAGAACACCTTGATGTCTATTTTTGTTACCTTATATTTTTCAAATATTTAAGACTTGGGTAAAGTCTTTAAGACAATTTGTCTTAAAATAAAAATTTAAAGCAGCTAAAAATAGTGTTTTGCATGGCAGTGCAAAGAGAACTTAAACCAGCTGTTTGGTCTCTAGTAGGTGACAAGTTGCTTTCTCTTTTTAATGCCTGTTTTTAAAATCAGGCTCTATTGTGAAGTACACAGTGTCTAAAATCTTCTAGACATTATTACTTTTAAGTGAAGTTTGTATTAGTGGTTTGAGCAGTGAATTAGTGGTAGGGTTTATATAGCATACTGTTTTGAATATCATACCTAATCTAGAAACTGCACCTTTCAAAATCATTTTGTTGTGAGGCTTTCAAAGTTCTGGCTGTATAACAGTTGCATAGAAATACCTGTCTTCTTTTAAAAGTAAAAAGACATTGTAATCCTTTACTCTAACTTAGAAGTTAAACAGTCTAATCTTTCGTATTGAATAGTATAAAATTCATTAGGAAGCATATGATTTACAAAAAAATTTATCACATTATTTTTTGCCTCTTTCTCAATTGCATTTGCAGTTTTTCAGTTTTTCTTTTGTATCTCTTTGCTTCCCTGTTAGTCTGGATTTAGGCTCTTCAAAGAGTTTTTCTGAAGAAGTTAGTACCAAATAATAGGTGGCATGTTCAGGTGATTACACTAAACCTTGTTTTGCGGCTGGTCTGAGAATCTGAAAATCAGGATTTTTCCCTGTCTGCCTGTTTTTGTCACTATTAGGCAAGACACTGATTACCTCAATGTTTTATTTTCCCTGTTTTGAAGAACACTATGTTGTGTGAGCAGAACTCACAAAATATGACCCTTCATGCAAATGCCTGATAAACAGGCTAATCAGATTTTTGCAGGTCTGTCTGCACAGGAATGAGAGGATTTCTTTTTCTTTTTGTCAACCGGAAGCAGGAAAGATAAGCTTCTAAGTCTGAGTTTTACCTCTGAAATGCTTATACAGTTGCTGAAATGCTTAAAATCAGAGACTGAATTTTTAAAATAGATGGATAGACTTGGACACATTGTATATTGAGGGAAGCAGAGCAAGGCAGGACAGGACCTCTAAAGGAAATGTACATAAAGATTCCATGTTTTAATGACTTTTACTAGCAGCAGTCTGTTCTGTTTTTTTTTTTTTTTTTTTTTTTTTTTTTTTTTTTTTTTTTTTTTTTTTTTTTTTT